TAAATCCTAAAGGAACCCCAAAAGGATCCCTTGCGCCCCCGAAAGAATCCCTTATTGGAAGCAGACCCGGAGCCTTCGCCAGGGCAAGGCAAAGGCGAAAGCCAAGGCCGCAGCCTCCAAGGCCAGGCAGTTCAGGCTTTAGGGGTTTAGGGTTTGGGGTTTAGGGGTTCAGGGATTAGGGTTTAGGGATTAATAGGGTTTAGGAGTTGAGGGTTTAGGAATTAGGATTTAGGGTTCAGGGTTTAGGGTTCAGGGTTTGGGGTTTAGGGGTTCAGGGATTAGGGTTTAGGGATTAATAGGGTTTAGGAGTTGAGGGTTTAGGAATTAGGATTTAGGGTTCAGGGTTCAGGGTTTGGGGTTTAGGGGTTCAGGGATTAGGGTTTAGGGATTAATAGGGTTTAGGAGTTGAGGGTTTAGGAATTAGGATTTAGGGTTCAGGGTTTAGGGTTCAGGGTTTGGGGTTTAGGGGTTCAGGGATTAGGGTTTAGGGATTAATAGGGTTTAGGAGTTGAGGGTTTAGGAATTAGGATTTAGGGTTCAGGGTTTAGGGTTCAGGGTTTGGGGTTTAGGGGTTCAGGGATTAGGGTTTAGGGATTAATAGGGTTTAGGAGTTGAGGGTTTAGGAATTAGGATTTAGGGTTCAGGGTTTAGGGTTCAGGGTTTGGGGTTTAGGGGTTCAGGGATTAGGGTTTAGGGATTAATAGGGTTTAGGAGTTGAGGGTTTAGGAATTAGGATTTAGGGTTCAGGGTTTAGGGGTTCAGGGATTAGGGTTTAGGGATTAATAGGGTTTAGGAGTTGAGGGTTAGGAATTAGGATTTAGGGTTCAGGGTTTAGGGTTCAGGGTTTGGGGTTTAGGGGTTCAGGGATTAGGGTTTAGGGATTAATAGGGTTTAGGAGTTGAGGGTTTAGGAATTAGGATTTAGGGTTCAGGGTTTAGGGTTCAGGGTTTGGGGTTTAGGGGTTCAGGGATTAGGGTTTAGGGATTAATAGGGTTTAGGAGTTGAGGGTTTAGGAATTAGGATTTAGGGTTCAGGGTTTAGGGTTCAGGGTTTGGGGTTTAGGGGTTCAGGGATTAGGGTTTTGGGATTAATAGGGTTTAGGAGTTGAGGGTTTAGGAATTAGGATTTAGGGTTCAGGGTTTAGGGTTCAGGGTTTGGGGTTTAGGGGTTCAGGGATTAGGGTTTAGGGATTAATAGGGTTTAGGAGTTGAGGGTTTAGGAATTAGGATTTAGGGTTCAGGGTTTAGGGTTCAGGGTTTGGGGTTTAGGGGTTCAGGGATTAGGGTTTAGGGATTAATAGGGTTTAGGAGTTGAGGGTTTAGGAATTAGGATTTAGGGTTCAGGGTTTAGGGGTTCAGGGTTTGGGGTTTAGGGGTTCAGGGATTAGGGTTTAGGGATTAATTAGGGTTTAGGAGTTGAGGGTTTTAGGAGGGATTAGGATTTAGGGGATTTAGGGTTCAGGGTTTAGGGGTTTAGGGTTTGGGGTTTAGGGGTTCAGGGATTAGGGTTTAGGGATTAATAGGGTTTAGGAGTTGAGGGTTAGGAATTAGGATTTAGGGTTCAGGGTTTAGGGTTCAGGGTTTGGGGTTTAGGGGTTCAGGGATTAGGGTTTAGGGATTAATAGGGTTTAGGAGTTGAGGGTTTAGGAATTAGGATTTAGGGTTCAGGGTTTAGGGTTCAGGGTTTGGGGTTTAGGGGTTCAGGGATTAGGGTTTAGGGATTAATAGGGTTTAGGAGTTGAGGGTTTAGGAATTAGGATTTAGGGTTCAGGGTTTAGGGTTCAGGGTTTGGGGTTTAGGGGTTCAGGGATTAGGGTTTAGGGATTAATAGGGTTTAGGAGTTGAGGGTTTAGGAATTAGGATTTAGGGTTCAGGGTTTAGGGTTCAGGGTTTGGGGTTTAGGGGTTCAGGGATTAGGGTTTAGGGATTAATAGGGTTTAGGAGTTGAGGGTTTAGGGATTAGGGTTCAGGGTTTAGGGTTCAGGGTTTGGGGTTTAGGGGTTCAGGGATTAGGGTTTAGGGATTAATAGGGTTTAGGAGTTGAGGGTTTAGGGATTAGGGTTCAGGGTTTAGGGTTCAGGGTTTGGGGTTTAGGGGTTCAGGGATTAGGGTTTAGGGATTAATAGGGTTTAGGAGTTGAGGGTTTAGGGATTAGGATTTAGGGTTTAGAGTTTGAGGATTTAGGGGGTTTAAGGCTTAGGGTTCTGTGAACTAGATTTAAGGTTTAGGATTCTGTAAGCTAGTTTTATAAGGAATATCGTACAACGGGTTGTAGGAGTATAAGGCCTTTGGCTTCGGGCGTCGGGTGTAGTTTTTTTTTTCTGTTTGGGCTTGGGCAGTTCAGGGTTTGGGATCGGGATAAGGTTGGAGGTTATGAGCTTTAATCGGGTTTATGCATTCGAGGTTGTAGGATTCGGGTTTGGGGTTATAGGATTCTTGGGTTTGGGTTTGGGGTTTATAGGGTTTGGGGTTATAGGGTTCGAGGGTTTGGGTTTGGGGTTTATAGGGTTTGGGGTTATAGGGTTTAGGGTTTGGGTTTGGGGTTGCAAGATATGGGTTTGGGGTTTTGGGGTGTAGGCTTCAGGGTTTCAGGTTTTACAGTTTGGGTTTTATTAGGCTTCGCCAGGTCCCGCCTGGTGCCTTCAATTAGAGACATGGTCCCGTAGAAATGGCATTTAAGGTCCTATATGGGGTAGATAGGAGGGTCTATGGGTGGCCTCAGGGCTTCAGGGTTTCAGTGTTTACGGTTTAGGGTTGAGGCATTGGCAGGTTCCTAAGGGTTCAGAGGCTTCCGGAGTTTCGCACAAGTGTTGAAGGAGTAAAAAGGTCTTGGGTTTAGCGGTGGCTGCAACTAGTTACTTTTAAATGGGCCAGACCTAAGAGAACAGTAGCATTTAGAAGCTGCCCCTAACCTGTAATAGTGACTATAAGGATTATATTAGGGCCCTATTATATTCCTATTATACCACTATTACAGGGTGGGGGGCAGCTTCTAAAGTAGCATGTTCTTCTACTGTTCTGGAGGTTTGGGGGGCTGCGACTAGGGTCTGGGTCTGGGGTTCGGGAATTGGAGCGGGGTGTGGGTTCTCCACGTGTCTGGTCTTGGGCTTGGGATTTAGGGCTTGGGTTCGGGGCGAATGTTTTGTTCGAAGTATTCTTCCAGGATGCCCAGTAGTACCGCTATTCCCTTTTTGTAGTCCTAGGTTCCTTATAAAGTTACCCAATACCAAAAAGAGAGGCCTTTTTATTCTTAGGTTACTGGGTATCCTAGTCTTTCAACTGGGCGTCAAGCCAGAATCGCGTAGGACCTGCTAGTCTATAACAGCAACAGGAATCATCGCCAGTAAGGTGTAGTCGTAGTCGTAGTCGTAGTAGTAGTAGTAGTAGTAGTCGTCGTCGTAGTAGTACTAGTAGTAGTAGTAGGCAGGTTTCAGGGTGTTGGGGTGAACTTGGGGTGGATAGCTTACGGCAGGGTGGTTTGCTAGGGGGCTTCTGGTTTACAAGCCCTGACTTCCAATACATCAAATCCCCTACAGTAGAAGACCAAAAGTTGGAAACCCCATGGCCTCAATCCTTAAGAGTAATGTATAGGGAATCCCAGCACTATTTGGCCTTAATCCAGTTTCCAACTTTATGGAGATTACTGTAGTCTAGTTATTGAGGCCCCATGGTAGGCCATAGGTTTGAAGTTGCACTGGAGGGGTCGTGCACCGGGAAGGAGCACGCTAGTTTCATAGCTCGGAAAGTATTCCTAGTGCTCCAGTTGTAGTCCGAGTTGGCCCAGTTGCCGGCAAGCCGTGACGTTTTACGACTCTACGGCAGAATTATCAGCGATGGGCCTTTGGCCCAATGAGAACAGGGCTCTATTATAGTACAAAGTATCAAAGATATGGCCCTAAACCCTAAACCGTTCAAACCCCACAGGCCCTCACCCTATCAAGTTAGGATAAGACCCTAAACCCTATAAACCCCTCAAGCCCTAATCCTATAAGCTAGCCCCTTCCAGTGGCACGCGCCTACCCGAGCTCAGGCGCTGAAGAACTCCAAGAAGGCCGACGGCTCGTAGATAAAGATTGGGGGTTTAGGGTACAGGGTTCAGGGTTTAGGGGTTTAGAGGTTCAGGATTTAGGGTGAAAGTATTCCCTTTTGTAGTCCCTATCTAGTATTATATTGCCTTACAGGCTCTATATAATGTCCCCTTGTAGTCCCTATAGAATATCCCCTTAAAGTCCTTATATGACTATGCCGTGATAGAGCACCAGCACCCTCCTCTAATCATGTTAACTATACAGTACACAGCAATGAAGCAACTGAGGGACGCAGGGTACGTTTAACTACGATCCTGGTCCTTGTTCACCTGTTCGTGTTCGGTTCGACTGGGTTTTTTCGACACATCACCGGCTTGGACTACCGAAAAGCGTAGTGTAGTTCAGGGTTCCCAGGTACAAGTATAGGGAATCAGGGTATAGGCCGCTGCAGATGCTCTAACTTGTCCATCAAGCACCTTCTTATAGTCGAAGTCTAAGGGTTTAGGGTTATAGGTGTTGCTTTCAGGGCTAAGGGTGGGGTTAAGAGTTGCCGGTTTGCGAGATTTGGAAATTTGGACGAAGTGCGCATCCTGTCCAGACAGGGTGTTCGTTTGCTCTCCAACCAAGAGCAAAGAGTCGTTCTTGCGAGTATGGCAGGGGGTCACCAGGCAAGCTAATGTGCCATAACATGCGATTCCCGAACATGTTTTTCTTTGCCGGCACACAAATCTGGTGTTCTCTAGTAGTTCCTCATACTAAACCCGAAACCCCTCAACCGTGGATCCCAGGCCTCACAAGGCCCAGATTTTTGTCCAGCCCCTCAGACTTCTCCGAAATCACCAAGCCCATGTTAGTTTCGGGATAGGGGCTTGGGTTTCGCGAAATCCTGCATTCAGCAAGCCTGGAACTCCGCCACCGAAGCTTGATAAAAAAACTCATGTCATGGAGCGGGTGCCTGGATTCCTACGTCCAGGCCGAGAAGGCGGTGGCGGATCCGGGCGCGGGAGAAGAAGAGGAGTTGCTCTGGGTTCGAGTTGGTGCTTGGTGGTTTAGGGCTATAGCATGGCAAGATTGGGAGGGGTGTTTCGTGTTTACTTGTTCATTAGTAGTTAATTTTTTTCATGTATTTATTTGTTCTGGTTTTCTTTTCTGAACATATATGGCACGTTTCGTGATTCAAATGATCGATGGCTTTTCTATACAGGAATTGTTCGGGACGTAGGGCCTCGGCTTTCACATGCGGTTTTGTGTCGCAGGGCATTGGGCTTGACTGCGCTTTGTTCCCTAGATCCAGGAGGCCACAGAGAAGTCCATGAAGAAGAACGCGCCAGGTGCCGGTAAGGCAGGGAGTGAAAGCATGAAATGGCCGTGTCAGGGTTTAGCGTTTGGGGTTTACAGCTTTTGGGCTTTCGGTTCTTTTGGATGTGGAGTTTCGGGTCTTTTGGATGATTTGGATGTGGAGTTGATAAATTGGTTTTAACGATCCTAGCTCTGGTGTAGGTGTCAGGTTTCCGGGCTGCCAAAGAACCGTTGCATGTTGTCTTCCCGTTTTTGAAGTGTCGGTTCGATTGAACCGGGACATTTTGAGCACCCCAGACCCTAAACCCTTAGCCTAACCCTAGGGTGGACAGTGAATAGGACCTCAACAAACCCTGACTGCCAAACCCTGAACCCCAAACCCTAAAACCCTAAACCTTTAAACCCTAAACCCTAAATCCCCGAACCCTAAACCCCAAACCTTTAACCCCAAACCCTGAAACCCTAAATCCTTAAAACTCTACACCCCAAACCCTAAACCCTAAAACCCTGAAACCCTCAAACCCTTAACCCTAAAACCCCAAAACCCTCAAACTCTAAACCCTACAACCCTAAACCCCAATCCCTAAACCCTCAAGTGTTGGCCCTCATTTGGGATTCGGCGTTGAGGTTTAGGGACTAGGGTCTTGGGTTGGGGCAACTGGGTGTTTAGGGGATGTGTGGCCAGGTTGCTGCCTTCATCAAGAAGGTTCTGAGCGAAGCTGGTGACAAGTCCTTCGACCAGGCAAGCGCCAGGGATAAGTTATGTTGTTACACCCAAACTTGCAGGATAATTGCTGAACAGACCCACAGCAGAAGTGGTAGGACGTCCCATGAAACTGGGTGGCCGGTGGTGCCCACGAAGCTTTCAGGGAAATCAGGGGGGCCCAGCAAGATGGAGAACAAGGCTTCGGGTTGACATCACACTGTGTCTGCACAGGATGTTGGAGGAATGCATTCTCTATCGAATCTCGCACAATTCTAGCAGAGCTGGCGGTTGAGACAACAAAACAAAAATCGAAAACTCAAGGGTCCAAAGTACCTATATTATATAGTAGAATGTAGGGTTTCTATATTAGGAAAAGCTATTTATGAGTTGGGGAAGTATCCCACATGACAGTACCCAGGATCTTTTGTTGGGAAAAGCGAAAAAGACCCTGAGCCAGCAGCCCTGAACTGCCAGTCGTGAAACCTCCGAGCTTCTGGGTGATAAAGGTTCTTATAACTAACGGTTTAGGGGTTAGGGTTTAGGGTTTAGGGTTTAGGGTTTAGGGTTTAGGGTTTAGGGTTTAGGGTTTAGGGGTTTATGGTTTAGGGGTTTAGGGTTTAGGGTTTAGGGTTTAGCGACTTACAACCATTACGGTTGATGGTATGAACAGTAATGACATGTAGTAGATCTTGGTCCTTGTATGTAATAGTCTTACCTTGGAGTTCCTATATCGCATAGCTGTAAGTAGCGTGATATACCCCCCAACACCCTAATCTATTTATCAAGGACCCGGCAGTGTAGAGGGGGTTTAGGACAATGTAGGGGCCTCTATGACATGGTGTCGGGCTGCTTCTGGAAGCAATGCAATCTCTGATTCAGAAGAGCCTTCGCAAATCTCCGCATCCTTCACCCATAGCAAACCGCAAAGCCTAAAAGCCTGACGCTCCAGTCCCTGCAAACTCAACAAAGACAGTTGACAGAAAAAACAACACGTCTCCCTAAACCCTTACTTACTTAACCTCCTGAAACCTTCAACCCTAACTCCTGACCCGCAAACCGTAGCATTCAAAGCGACATCGGCCCGATCGCCGGGCTTCTATGGCGCGCCCCGGCCTGTGGGCCGGAGCGGCAGCTCTGGCAAAGCTCTGGCAGGCTCGAGATGCTGTCGGTTTGGGTGTTTGGGTCCTGGAGGAGTGTTGAAAGCTTTAGGGTTTAGGGGCAGGACTTCTTCACTTGTTTTATTCAGGTGGCTCACAACGAGGATCCTTCTGCCATTTTCGGTTTGTGTTGTGACCCCAGACTTAAAAGTTTTTTGGTGATGAACTTACCCTTGGGTTAGCAGGAGTGCCAATGCTCCCTTAAGGGGTTGCTAGGGTGACATTGCTATCTGGGAGTTTCCGAAAATTAGGGGTACCTGAATTTGGGGTCCTTACAATGTAGATATCCTATTATTTAGGATACTATATTAGGGTCCCCTATTTTCGGAAACTCCCATCTCGAGATTCTGGACTTCGGATCTTCGTTTCAGTAGCTAGAGGGGTTCCAATGGCGAACCCCCCACTACCCTCTACTGGTGTACCCCAAATACTGTACCCATTACTAAGGACCATAAGGGCTCTGTGAAAGGGTTCTTGGGGTTTCCGATGGCTCAAACCTCAAAACGACTTTCTTTCCGACGGGAGACCTGGCGGTAGAGAACCGGGGCGACAGAAGCAATCCTGCATTTCAGGAATAGTTCTTCTAGGTTCGGGGAGGCAGTTCAAGGCATCGACGGCCTTAGACTTAGGGCATAGGGAATTACACGACTTCAAGACTTTGCTCTAGGTTATCAAGGCTTCCCGCTTCACACTAGCAGGGCTTTCGGTGCAGCTTTAGGGGTCTGCACCCTGATCGCCATCACCAGGTGGTCAACAGCGTAACTTTTGCATTGGGGGGGGGGGGGGGGATAGCTAAGAGGATGCTAGGAGGGTCCATGTGCCTACTGCTTGCGGAAATATTATGGACCTTCAGGGTGGCAGTGACAATCAGGCTTCGTCGCAATAAGGGTTAGGCAGGATATGGGTTCAAGAGCAGTAGTAGCACGAACGGTCACCGCAACAGGAGAATACGAACACAAGGAGCAACAGCATCCAATCCACAAGGTTCAATCCTTAACCCCAGACCCGCAATCCCGCCAGCTGCCAAACTCTACACCCTGAGGAAACTACCGCGACCCCCTCCCTTCAATGACGCCAAAATTCGAACGCACGAAGCCCCATTCACACCCCTTTTGGAAGGGTTTGCCAGGTCCGTGAGATGCGAGACTGGCCTTGGTGGCAAATGCCTACAACTTGAAACTTCTAGGGTTTATGGTTGGGGTTACATAACGGTTTAGAGTTGATGGTTTGGGCTGAGGTCACGCCCGATCCTAGCCCTACATGCCGGACCGGCCGCGTCAGGCTGCACCCTTGCGCTGCGATGACCGCACGTCCTCTCCTGCGGCCAGCCTTAGAGGCTCTTGGGTGTGCGGTTCACTTACCTTTGGTTAGTAGGGAATGGAAGAATGGTAGCAATAGTATATAGCTATAATTGTACCCCCAACCCTCCATTCCCTACTAACCAAAAGTAAGTTCAGGGTTTGTGGCTTCCTTACAGCTTTCTCCGGGCTGAAGAGGCAATGCAAGTAGAAGAAGTCTTGGGAGATTGGTTGCGGGTTGGCTGCTGCGTCCTCATGACGCCCATTGTGCCCAGACGGGATGTGACGTGTTCCCACTAGATCGATTACTACAGATCTTCGTATGTCTGATATTACTTTTTCAATTGCTCCCGGCACCGAGTTGGTTTCCAAAGTCCTTCGCAACACGACCAAAACCACAAGCTACACAACTCTGAAGAAGTGAAGCTTTCTTTGACGAACCTGCTCCCTGCCCCTATCTTCTTGGCAGGGACTTGCCCCCGCAGCGGAGTGCGCCACTTTGGCAAACAACGGGTTTTCGTAAGGGTTGCTACTTATTAGCATATGTTTTGTGGGCCCTGAAACCGCTTCGTAAACTGCTCAGGAATGCTGCTCCAGGTGACCTCTTTAGCCTACTCCAAAGTATCATAGCTAAGAGCTACGGGAGACTATGTCGGCTCCTACAGCGCAACTGTATGTCGTAATTATGTTGCTTTCCGGGAGCTGTCCTCTCTTGTTTCGGAGGTTTAGGAGACAATTCCATCTGTGCACCAAATTCCAAGCCCCACTCCGCAGATCTTCAGCTTGATTTATCCAGGACAGAGATGGCTGTCCACAGCCTTGCAATCACCACGTTCAACCTACTTCCCCGAGTAGGCTTCTAGTTCGAAGTCTACTGCGGCACCTATGGCGGTTGCCACTAGTGAACGAGCCCCACAAGGACAATCAGGCGGCAGCCCTTGTACGAGCACCATCTAGTAAATCTAGTACCTGAAGCTTCAATTACGACCTGCAGCTGTGTATTCAAGGAGCCTCAATCTTTTGGTCCCAATTTTTGCACTTTAATCCTGTAAGATGCTTTTTCGACCGTTTGAATGTTCCTAGCTCGGCAGCTGGAGCATCATCTGGACGAGGGCTGTAAGTCTTCTGGAATTCCGTACAGGGCCCAGCAACGGTGAACACTCAAACCCTACCCAAAAACGATTTTAGTCATTCGGGCCCTTGCACTAATCCCTTATAGAACTTGATTCTAATCATTATATGCCCCAAATAGCCATTCCCCACCCGCCTCCCTCCCCCCCACCCGCCCTTGGACCCTAAACCCAAAAATAAACCCCAAACCCTCCCTCCCCCCCTCCTCAAATGAGAGCAAAGCTGGGCTCGTGTTAAAGGATTTACTTTAAGCTACTGCAAGAAGGAAACCTTAGTATAGACTACAGATCCCTATTCTGGTAACTTAAATGAAGTTCCGTAACAAGAACCATCCAAGCTACTGCAATACACAAACCTTATGAGAATTATATACTATAGATCCCTATTATGGTAATTTAGATCAAATTCCCTAACAAGAACACAGAAAGGCGCTACTTCGCGGCCCGGGGTCGGCCCATTGAAGCCTCAGCGTGCCGAACTGCGGCCGTTGAGGCCCAAATAATTACCAATACCCTTCTGGGGGGTTCCTTATTATGATTATAGTATAAAGTACCCCAAAACCCTATTCCAATTATTAAGTCCCCTACATAAGGAGGAGGTCCCAAATGCTACTGTATACTCAGAATGGTTTCGGGGCTTCAGTCGCCTCCTTCTACCGCTCGGACACGTGTACTTGAGTTCTACCCTAACGATAAGCTTCACGCTTTAGAAGCTGCCCCCACCCTGTAATAGTGACCATAAGGATTATATTAGGGCCCTATTATATTCCTATTATACCACTATTACATGGTGGGGGCAGTTTCGAATTCATGCTTGTACACTGGATGAAGCTCCTGAGGCGTAGCAATACAACAGGCTTTTAGGCATGCCTTCTTGGGCTTTGGGTTTAAGTCTCGGGCCCGGGGCTATTCAGATTGGCAGTTGGCACGCGTTTTCTCGAATTTTGGGTCTGCCATTTTGACCAAGGACCATGCTGTAATGTGGGCTGCGAGACATATTGTGACGGCTATCGTTGGTGTATGTTCCTTTCCCGAGCTATGGCTTCGGGTAATTAGCTTCTTACAAGTACCGCCCACCTACTAAGGAGTTCCTATAGTACTCAGCCTTGCAGGTTTTATGTGGGTGCCCATGTGAAGCTCAACAACATCACGAGTCTTCGGAGCCGAGGATGTGCGATTCTCACACGGTCCTGATGCCCTAAGCCCTAAACCCTGAGCCTAGATCTGAAGCTCCAGAGACCGACACTCAAAAAAAACATACAAAATACTGACCTTGGTTCCCCCGTCCCCGGTGCTAAAGTGAAGCCAGCCTACACTACGGCGTCAGAGGCGCGGAATATTTCGCATATCTTTACATGTGTAGTTCTCTAGATAAGTTTAAGTCCTCCAAGTCGTACGGCACCCTTACAAGAAGAAGCCCAAAAGGGAAGCTGACTTACAGAAATGCCCGGATTGTAGCATCCCATATTCTCCACATGGTAGGCCCTGCGACTCCAGAACCTTCCCAGCCCTGAGCGCTCAAAAGCCAAGTTCTCCGTCCGACCCCGAGAGCCCTTTTTTTTACCACATGGGTGGTTGTCAAAATTATGGTCCCTTTTTGGGTACCCTAGACCCGACTTTTGACAACCACCCACATAAATACAGTGAATCTGTATTATACCATAACACCAAGGGTCCAAGTACCTAATAATCGTACACTCTCCCAAATCCCAACCTACACAACTATATTATCCTAGACCCGAGTACCTAATTATTGGGTCCTTTGGACCCCTGGGGTAATCATAAGAGAAGGCAATAGGGACCCGAACAGTATGACTCAACATTCCTTAAAGTGTTTTTAGGCTCTCTGCCCGAAAGCCCCCTTCGGCTCAAGGCGTTAAACGCTTTCGCGCTAACAGAGAGCCATTCGGAGCGAGGAGGCTCGGAGCCTTCATGATCAGAACCAAGGTTCGTTTCCTAGTAGTAGATAGAGTAGGTAACCTTGAACCTTTTTGGGGTAGTATAGTCCCTATAAAATCCCTTTGTAACCAAAAGGCTTAACTTTGAGTTTCCCATGATACCCGACAAGTAGGGTTTCCGGAAGGTTTAAATCAAAGGCTTACGGCAAGGCTGGCTTCTGGTCGTTGGGTTTAGGGAAAAGAATTCTAGCTTTAGGGGTTCCGGTTTCAGGGTTTAGGGCTGGGGTTTTGCTGCAGGGAACCAGGGTTCCCCAAAAGGGGGTTTAGCGTGTGAGCGCGTAGAGCTTCGAGTTGAGCAGCTGTGCGATTGAAGTTTGAATTTCAAGCTTCAGAGGTGAAGGGAAGGAGTCACGGCCGAGGTTGTAGGATATTCACTACCAGAGACAAGCCCACGCCCAGGGTGTCAAACTATTGCATTGATTTAGAGACCCTAAACCCTAACCCCTAAACCCTAAACCCCTAAGCCCTAGACCCTAAACCCCCAAAGCCCTAAACCCTTAAACCCTAGACCAGCAGAGACCGGGGCTGGCCGAAGGTTTGGGTGGGTCAGCCCTGGATGCGGTTTAGGGTTTGGGGTTTAGGGTTTGGGTTAGCAAGGATCTTCACGGCCCTATATGAACTGGCAGAGAGCTTCAGGGTGCTAGAACCCTCAAATAGATCCCTTGAAAGGCCCTTATAGATCCTAAACCCTAAACCCTGATTATGATATATATATATATATGTATATATATATATATATATATATATATATATAGATCTTAATCCCTAATCCCTTAATATAAAGCGGCTACTAACCCGATAGATCCCGACTATAAGCCCTGAACCGGCCTTATAAACGCTATAAGCCCCATAGCTGCCGTAACTCTGCAGGCGAAGCGGCAGCCAAGGCCGCCAAGGCCCGGCACGTGCCGCTATGGCGCCAACAAAGCACATAAGCAAAAATTTGGGTTGGTATATCCCATAAAATGCTTATGCTTATGTGCTTTGGGGGGTCCCTAGCTGCTATGGGGCAACACGGGCTTCGGGGTTTGGGGTTGCGGGGTTTGGGGTTTCGGGGTTTAAGGTTTTCAGGGTATGGCTCAGGCTTTATGAGGTTTAGGGTGTGTGGGGGGCGTGGGATTTCGCGGATTAGGGGTTTGGGGCTTATAGTAGAGTGTATGATTTAGGCTTGGAGGGTGAATCACTGCACCGTCACCTTTGTGGTTTGAGATGGTTCGATGATGGATGTGTGAACTGTCTTCGACTTGTTTATCACGGTTCTCTCTCCTAATCTCCTAAACTCTAGACCTCAAACCGTGAATCCCGCACGAGCCCTACAAACGCTGCATGTAGGCCCAAAGAGTGGAACTGTGGCCTGGTTTCTGGGCTCTTGCTTAGGGATTTAAGTTACCATAATAAGGGAACCTGATATTTCTATAATTTATCCCTACAGCTTAAGTCAGACTTCTGAACAAGAACACAGGTTTCTTCCTGGGCTCACAACGTAACTAGTACAGCATATCCAGACAAGCTCTTGAGAAAAACCTACGAAGCTCGTGGACACTTAATCAGGGTTTACGAAAACTAGGTGGCAATTTGAGAAACTTGTTAATTCCCCTTTATGGTTCCTTTAGAGGTACCTTTTCCTAAATGCTTTTCAGAGCCCCAAAACTACAACCCACAAGTACCTAATAATCATATACTCTCCAAAATCCTAAACTACATAACTGCTATCGTAAAACCGAATACCAAATTATTGGGTCCTTTGAACCCTTGGGGATTGTTGTTTTTTTTTATTTTTTTCCGAAGCCGCGCGTGCAGAGAAAGGCGCTGCCTCTGCTGGCAGCGAGGGCCTTCTCCGAGGCCTCGACTGAGGCCAGGTTGGGGCGGCCCAAAAGTAGCCCTAAGGGTCCAACTTGGAAGGGCAGGGGACTTAGTAAGTAGGTTATAAGTAGAGTTATAAGTGCCCTAAATGGAGTTACCCCAATTATAACCCTACTTATAACCTACTTACTAAGTCCCCTGCCCTTCCAAGAAAGGACCCAAACACTAGGTACTCGGGTTTAGGACAGAAGTTATGTAGGTTAGGATTTTGGAGAGTATACGATGATTAGGTACTTGGACCCTTGGGGTCGGTAAAATAAGTTGTCCCGGACCTACGAAAGGCTGCTTTCTGCTGTTATCTGCTGTTATTCTATGTGGTTCTAGGGTCCAGGTGGGGCTTTTGTCTCTTGGGGTGACTTTAACTTTGGGTTGCAGGGTGTGGAGCTGAGTTTCAGGGAGGGAGCTCAGGCTTCCATAACAGACAGGGACCTGAAAGATCCCTAAGTCCTAAGTAATCCGATCCTTGTTTTATTTCACGGGCCCCCAAGGGAGGCCCCCCGTTTTCCAGACTCCCGCCTCCCAGTTTAGAATCTTTGGTTGACACATATTTCGCCTCCGACCATTTCTGTACCGTGTGCTCGAACCCTTCCGAGCCTTACGTGCTCTTTCGCGCCGAAGCCGTAACCCCTAACGCTCTAAAGACCCCTCAACCCTGTAAACTCTGCATAGTTTTAGTGTTCAACTTATTATGATTCCTTTATATAAAAAGATAGGTTTCCTAGGGTCCAGGTACACCATGAACCCTACAGACCCTTCAACCGAAGACGCGGCAAGAGGTTCCCCTTTGGACACGCACTGCGGCAGACGGTGGACGGCTGGAGGACGCGAGTCCAGCTATGGCCTGGGGGCTCAAAGGAAGTTTAGATTTCAGTGCTTGGGGTTTTAAGGGTTTCGGAGTTCAGGGTGTCGGGTCAAGGGGTTGAAGAAAGTGTGGGGCTTGAAGTTCGGAGAGCAGTAGTCCCAGAAATTGCCGGCAGCCACAATGGACACTGGTACCGCCAATCCCTACTTCTGCTGGCTAGTGATAGTCTGGGTCCTCTTGCAACAGATATTACAATCCGTCTTGTGTCCCCCAGTGTCAGTTTCTTGTCGTTTCAATTACGGCCCGAAGCCACAAAGTCCCCTGCCGAGCCATTCCTGCTATTGCTTGCGGGGGGGCGGGGGGGGGGGCTGGGTAATATAGGGGCCTGAATAATTAGAGTAGGGTTTGAGGGCCCATTAATATACTGTAATTAGAACAAGGAACCCCCCAAAATAACATAGTTATTCAGGCCCCTATATTAACAGGGGGAAGCGATGATGGGGTCCGGACCCTTAAAGAGAAAGGAGGAGGACGCTGCAGCCAGGGCGTGGTCTGAGGCTCTCCGACAGCAAAGAGCGGAAGGTTCTGAGTTTCGGGGCATTTTCTCCCCAGTAGGGTGTCGGGTTTAAAGCTGGTGTAGGGTTATAGCTGGTGTAGGGTTGATGGTTGAAGGACTAGGTGTGTTGTTCGACTGGCATTGGCTAAAGGTTGAAGCTTCGGTGCCTGGGTTGTTTTCTTGGCATCGACCCGTTGTGCTGATTATCATGTTTTTCATAAGCAAGATGTCTTGATAGGCAACGATAGTTCAGGCATGGCAGTCGCAGGTGCCTGTGCTTTTTGTCCGGACGCTCGGTTCAGCATGGAAAGGGTTCAATAAGGGCTCCGCAACGGTGCTGCGAGCGTTCATTAAAATTCTGGTGCCTTAAACGGGTTCTGTCTGACTTCTACAATGCCTCCATAAGGGTTCTACGAGGCATCTACAGGCGTTTCATGGGGCGTCTATGCGGCATGTACGAGGGTCCTACAAGGGTTCTCTTAAGGTATCTTTTAACAAGGGTCAGCAAGGGTTGGAGGCTCGAGTCGCGTGGCTTTTTGCATGTGGAAGCCCGAGGCGGGTTAGGATAGCATACTTCCAGATAGCTTGAGCAGACGGATCCCTACATCAGTTACCCCTGATACTGCAAGATCTGAAGGTCCAGTGCTACCCCTGATTTTGTGGGCAACCCCCGATCAATAAGGGATCTGAGGCTTGGATCCCAGCTCGGCTTTTTTGACCTTGACCCTCGACGAATTGCTAAACCCTAAACCCTAAACCTGGTCTTGTGCACGGCATAAGCCATCAGGGAACTTATGCAGGCTGCAGCTTTCCTTGTGTCTAGATGACAGATATGGCATGGACGTCTTACTATCCGCATGCCAATCTCTACCCAATCGTTCACGCCATGTGGTTCCTCAAAAAGCCTTCAAACCCAAGCACCAAGCTCCTAATCTGTAACGACTCTGAACTCTGAACCCGAACCCTAAGACCACAACTCAACTCCAAACCCGAACCCACAAGCCCAAAATCCTAAACTAGTTCAGCAGCCTGAAAGCCCTACAGTCACTGAGCCCTACCAGCCGACAGCCTGCAACCACCCCCCCGGTTTAGGGTTCAGGGTTTAGGGTTTAGGGTCCCCCCCAACCCCCCAACCCCCCAACCCTAAACCGAAGCCAGGCTGTGACTGTAGCCTTCCAACGATGCGACGAGCAGCTCGGGGAGGTACGATACGTCGAGCCTGCATGGGGGAATGGGCTATGGGCTATGGGGACTATCAAAAGGGATTATATAGGGACTACTATAGGGATCCGTTCCCCCATTCCCTACTATGAACCAGACAGTCAGTTTTGGTGCTGGTGCCTTGTTTCTTCGTGCTTCACTTTTCGAGACAGTCACGCTACATTCGTTGGCTGCAGTAGATCAGTCATCGTACAGCACAGGGTAGATCCCCGATACACAACCTTTTAACTTTTGGGGTTCTTATAGTTTAACACGAATCGGAAAGTTTAACCTTTCAGTTCGGTGTCTTATTGGAGGAGTAAGGGCAGGGTAGTTCCAAATTCCTCAAACCTGCAGCTTCCACAGTAGCGTCCGCAGCAGGAGCCAACTTCTGCGGTTCTTTGCATCATCGCGAGGTCGGGAATCTCGGAGTTTCAGGGCTCCATAAGCCTAAGGCCTAAGGGTCCACGTACCCAAAGTAGTATATACTGTGACCCCCAATGTACCTATCTATGTAGGGAGTACTGTAAGGCCAAAGTATATACTGTAAGAGTACATGGACTCAAAAGGTTAATTAAACCTTCAACCGGAACCGGCGATGCCTGAACTGGCCAGAATCCTGCAACCTTGTTATTTGATCAGGGCCTTGAGTTGCTTCGGTTCGGTATGAAAGTGAAGAGACACCTTGGATGTACGACCGCAAATTCTGCACAAGTTGATAAAGCAAGCAATCGACGTGCCCCTGAAGTCCTAGACCCCCTTTCCCTTCCTCGCAGGCAGGAGGAAGGAGGCGATCTTACGAAGTGTCTATTCATCATCTTCAGTACATGCTGATATTGCCCTAAACTCTACAGCCTAGACTCAATCGTTACCTTTCTGGGGGTCGTTGCGCAGTAGCTCTAATTGTTTCCAAATGTCGCCAGTACCTATAGGGTCTTGTTGTAAGCTTTGTTGGGATGCATCGTTTTATGGTCCGTATCTGCGTATAGAAAAGTAGATACCCCAAACAAACGGTGGGGTGTTAGCTTCTCGAACCCTACGTCCCAGAGCTGGCTCTTCCCTTGGGAAGTATGATTATGCATTTCGGCCTCAAAGTAGTCCCTAAGTACGTCCTTTGGGGTGAAAGTATGTACCAATTGGGTAGTTGGGTTTTGCGTAGGGTTTAGGGTTCAGGATTGCTTAATTACTACGGGAGGCAATCCAGCTCTTCTATCTTTACACGCCGACTGGCACATGGAATCCACCTTGGAGCTCCAAAAAGTACATGCTAAAAGCCTTATGCTTCCATGCCTTTCTCCGTAAGCCTGAACATCACTGAACTATTCATTCTTATACCCTTTTAAATTTAAAAACCTGAAACTCACTGCGCCCACACGTCTATTCCGCACACTACAAGACTGATTGTTCTGCGAAATGCTGAAACTAGTGTCAAATACGGGACGAAAGCGTGCTGGCCAGGAGTGAAAACCTCTTTATGTTAGAATGTTTGCTAAATAAAAAATCCATCCCCAAAGCCAACCTTTGAAGAGCAGGGCGACAGCCCCACAAAGCAGATGTTATCAGTGCTGGCCCATGGGCAGTCTCGAGTTCGCGTGTGGTTTTGAGGCTGAAGGAGACAGTTGTCCTTTAAAACGCGGTACGGGAGGAACTGGTCTGTATGCGTCGTAGCGCAGTCGGGAGGCTAAAACCTACTGAATTGTCTTCTCCGCTTTGCCAGGAGTGGAACCTATATTGCAAGCGTCGGCATTGCTCGCTGTGTTCTCGGAACGGAGACGGACGAGGGCGAAACTGTCTATTGCGATGAGGCTGGCTGCTCCTGGTAGTACATGTTATGGTGTTTGCTTCGGGTTCCGGCTTGATGCTGGGTTTTCCAGAAGGTGTGTGCTTCCAGTGGGTTGGCTGTTAATGTGGTACCTTGAAATAGTGTCCACCCCCCCGGCCTGCACCGACCATTGTGCCCAATACCCAAACCGCAGGTACCTGTCACTCAGAACCCGAGCATCAACTCCAGACCCCGTTCAAAGCATCCGAAAAAGAAGCGTTTTCAAAATCCCGCCTGAATTGCATCAGAAATCTTTTCAAAAGGAGAATCCAGCTCCCTGTTATCCTTTCTAGTCAGTTGAGATAAGCAAAACACCGGGTCATTTTTGTTCACCGTTTTGACTAACAAGACCTCGCAGGCACGCATGAAATAGGATCGCCTACAGTAGACGCCCCAAAGCTAGAAACCCAGTAGCTTCAATCCTTAAGAGTAATTTATAGGGAATCCCAGCACTATTCGGCCTTAATCCGGTTTCCAACTTTATGGGGTTTACTGTAGTTGAAGAAAGTGCCGCTCTAGAAGGGCCAGGTCGAGTTTTTGCGACTCAGGGTTGAGGGTTTGAGGCTGTCGAGACGGTTTAAGACTCTGGTTCGTTGACAGACCTGAGATGTCGGACGAGCTTTCCGTTGAGACTGTATCGGTGTTTCGCGCCTCGCTAGCTTTGACACATTGACTGGGCTTGAGTTGGCAAATCTTTAAAACCGGGGAAAATTCGGTCTCAACCGTAAACCCCCACAGGGTAAAGTTGCGTGAATGCTCGCCGTTGAGGATGTGTCTCATCGGCAGCTGGTATTTTGTCGATACTTGTAGCGTGGTTCGTCTTTGTCAAGAGATCTGTCCAGGGTAGTTCTGAAAAACGGACTCATGGTGGCTCATCCTCCCTGATAACTCGCTGTCACTGTCATACGGTAGTAAAGTGCCCAGCAATGATCTAAGAAAGCCACAAGTTCAGGTGTCTGTGCCGCATGACGCCAGCAACGACGCCGAGCGTGCGCGGGTGAAGGATGCAGGAGCGAGCCGGGTTCTTCGGGGACATGTGTCAGTTTTTTGAGGCTCCTACTGCCCATCGCGGAGGCTTGGGGTTTAATGTAGGAACCTGATTAAGAAACCTTGGGCCTATAAAACCCCAAAGATAGTAGGATTCATATCAAGAATTCTAGCAGAGTGGCCCAAGGTTTCTTAATCAAGTTCCCACATTGTAATAGTACCCTTATACATCCCTTATAGTAGCCCTTATCGATCGCTTCAAAGGAACCCTAGTAAAGGCCCATGGTTTGGGGCTTAGGGTTTAGGGTTGCAGGGCAGGAGTCTCGAGTGTTTGCATCTTCGCACGACCCCGCCGTCAGGAGCGAGAGCCGTGCCCTACGTGCTCCGCTTCCTGGGTGGCAGGGCGCACAAAGCCTCACATCCAGGCCACTCTGGAACCTCACTTCTTGTTTGGGGTTCAGGGTTTAGGGTTTAGGGAACATGCTTAACACAACGTTTGGGCCTAGACCCGAAACGCAAAACCCTATAAAACACCTAAACTACGGTATTGCCCCAGTGAACACTCAGTATGCATCGGGAGGTCCACATTGTTGGGCTACTTGCTGTACCTTTCTTGTCCAAAGACCTCTTGCTCGAGTTGCATTTCCTGGCTAGCGGGGTATTTCATCACCGTTCTTTATTCTACCATGGTAATGTTCTGGATGAGTATCCGGTGGGCCCAGTTTGTCGAGACTGGTGTTTTATGACACTGCGAGTAGACGAAGCTCTTCTGCCACCGCAGTATTGCAGCAGGCCTTCACTCAAGAGCTAGACCCCTGTGGAAGCAGGAGCAGTGCCAGATGCCATGCTAGAGAGTATTTAGGTCTGAGGGGTTTTAACAATATATATCCTAAATCTTACCATAGATACAGAAGTTCAAGACTAAAGGGTCCTTTGCTTTAGATCTGGTGCCGAAGCTTTAGAGGCTTAGGCCCTATTGCCCCAGGTCCTACAAAACAGTAGCTCAGTAGGTTATGCCATCTAAATTGCCAGGGATGACGCTTAAAACGGTGGGTTTTGGGATCTCCAGGTATAGCCCCAAACCCTCCGAAAGCCTAACACGACTATCAGGTGTCATCGGCCTTCCCGATGTTGTTCGAGCCCCGCCTTTGGCTGCAAAGTGGTTATTAGGGTTTGGGGGATTGGGGTTTAGGGTGGTACAAGTTTCGACTTCGATACTGAACTGCCCCCGCTCAGTAAGAGTTGGGTAGTTTTTATTGATATTTACAAATATGAAGGCCAATCATAGCACCCTTGGTAAAATAACTAAAGATTGTTACCGCAATTGGGGCAGTACCCAAGCTTCGACTAGGGTTGTACATAAGAGGGCTCCTAAGCGAAACTACCGAGGTCGGTGAGTTGAACGACTCGACTTAGGGGTCAGGGTTAGGGGTTCAGGATTTAGGTGCTCAGCTTGTGTTTCCTGTAGTGTCTGGAGTCTGGACGCTCCGGCTTATGTTGGAGGGAACCCCCAAACTGGTACCTACTTGGTGATGCTGCTGGTCAAGGGCTCCTTGTGACAAGTCCATGCCCATCACATGCATACCATTGTTACAACTCCTCTTCAACATCTATTTCATGGATGTGAGTATGTTTTACTTGAGCCTTCAGCCTTCAGTCAGAAGAGCCCAGCGAGTATCTCAGTATCTCTTCTAGTACATAAGGCATAGGTCGGAGACCGCAGAAATTGAGAAGCTCGAAAAGCTGCGGTGCGCCAGAATTCGCACATCTGCTTCAGATGTGACATATTGACGCCCAGGACCCGTAAACTAGGCCAAAGAAAGTTCGCAGCCATGTTTAACCCCCCATGAGACTTTCTTTTGACCATATGCCGATAGGCCCGCCAAATTCACACGACAGCACTACGCGCTAAAACTAAGAACCATAAACCCTGAAACCGAACCTGACACCCCAACACTCACGAAGCCCCGTTAAGAGCAATCATTCCTGTACTTCTCTCCCATGCTGTAAAACCCCAAGGAGGTCTAGAGCCTAAGCACCTGCTACATAAACGCCTGAACGACTTAAAAGCACACCCTGAATCCGGTAAATGAAACTCGTACAGCCCAGGCACCCGCCCGACGGGCGCAGTTTCCTGCTGCTCGGCACATCGAACCTCTGGTCACAGGCCAGGAGCCTGAAGGATTCGTTTTTTCTTCGGGTTTGCGTTGAGATTAGGCAAACACTTGCAAGTGAACATGTCCGTCGGTGCCGTGGGACACATCCACATCCCTTTCGATGTAGGTTCAAGAGAAGTACATAGGGTTTAGGGGTTAGCGGTTTAGGGTTTGGGTTGAGGGATGCTGCTAGAGACCACGTTTGATTGTCGATTTTGTCGTCATGTAAGGCATGACAAGTCCTTGGTGCATTTTGCCACTACTAGTGCCACCGACCCGGTGACGAAGACCACGGTGAGAGTGTAGGAGTTTGTCAGCATGAAAGACACGTTGTTGCAGTTCACTTGTCGGACGAGCATGTCGGTACTCACCACGAGGGAGATGCAATAGCTAGTAATTAGGATACATCAACTATATGCCTACATTTTTGTATATGTGTGTGTGCAAACACAAGCATATCTGAGTACCACATGCATGCTCAAGCTCTCTCTCTTTCTGTGTCTTTCTCTCCTTCTCTCTCTCTCTCTCTCTCTCTCTCTCTCTCTCTCTCTCTCTGTCTCTCTCACTCTCTCTTTCTCTCTCGCACACATATACATGTATGCATACCAATCTATCTGTAGACATACATACATGTTATATATATATATATATATATGCATATGCATAAGCACTTACTCATGTATACGCACATACATCCATATTCGTTTACCAACAGTGCATGCATACATACATAGCACACAAACAGAGTTATTGATACATACGTTTGCCGTGTGCATATGCCAGATAGACCCATCTGGCTATAATGTGGTTGGTCAAGTATTGCAGCCTGGTCAAAATCGGCTAGCTCTCGTTGATTCAGGCGAGGTGTTCATTAATTCGGGGAGACAGGTTTCTGGCGTGGATACCATCTGCTCCCCTGTCTAGATGTAGTATGTTCCATGATATGAACTGAGGAATCCTGCGGAATAGTCGCAGCACGGGATCTGTAAGTTGACCGATATCAAACTGGCTTAGGCACCTTATCCCCCAAACCCCAAAACCGTAATCCGGATCAACAGCATCCCAAACCCTACACCGCAGCTTATGTGCAGACGACAGCCAGAACCACCAGGAACCACGCGCCTTGAGCATGCCACCACCCCCACCGGAACACCAACCGCGAGGGCCCACGTCTTCCTGTGCAGTGGGCCGTCGAAGCCTTCAGAGAAGGTGCCATCGCGTTCATGTTCGTCCTGCGTGTGATCGAGTTCAGGGTTACCCAGAGGCTCCATAGTAGTTCCTTTTCGGGGTTCATGTTTAGAATCCTATAAGGTAACGCCAAAAAGCAACTACTATGGAGCCTAGGGGTAGTATTGTAGTCGAGAACGGCATGCTTTCAGCTTTAAGCTGCCTGCTTGCTTCTGGCAGAAATGTATCTTCAGATGTGGTCTTGACACCTGGCGGCCCTTAACCGGCCCTCGACCTTTGTCCCAGCACGGCCCATTTTGGGAGGTTCCTGGGAAGCGTGCTCAGCAACAGTTCATTGTCCCGTTGCTCTTGCATTCTGACAAACATGTAAGGTTCATCTCTAAACCCTGAACCACTAAACCCTAAACCCTAAGCGCTAAACCCCTTACCCATAAACCCTAAGCCCCTTATGCCTAATCCCTACACCCAGGACCCTTAATTCGGCCTTAAAGCCTAGAAACCCTAGCATATACTATGAGATTTTCTTCCAGGATCTGTTCCTCGGTAAGTCCTCACCCTCCAGAGCTGACCCAATGATATAGCCTTCCGGATTAAGTAGTCCTGGTATTGTTTAGGCTCGTTAAGGGTTTTGGGTTTGGGTTTTAGGGGCTTAGGGTTTCGGGGTTTAGTTAGCCTTCCGGATGAAGTAGTGCTCGTATTCCTTAGGCTGGTTTACGCTTTAGGGCTAGGGTTTTGGGTTTAGGGGTTCAGAGTTTGTGTGTTTCTGTTCCCGGCCAACCCGAAACCTTATTCGAAAACATAGGGCCCTCAGAATATCCACAGCTTCTCCGGCACAGGCAGATGTCCTGCATCCGAGTGGTGTCTCGGAGAAATGTTAAGAGCTCTTTGGGGTTTCGATGGTTCCATTAAGAGATCTATATGAGCTCGATTTAAGGATCCGTTTTTCGAGAACATGCTTCAAAATGGAGTGCGAACCTGCAAGTGCATGCCTTCCACCTTCGATGTAACGTATATATACTTAGACGCTATCTGACACTTAAATTCGTAGGCATGTGCGCAGTACATGGGAACGGATGGGCGTAGAAGTGTAATGTATCGCAAGGTACTATAGTGTACTGTCATATGTAACATGTTGTGTTGCATCGTATCGTACTAGTATCGCAACGTATCGTCGTGCATTGTACCGAACATACATCATACATACACGTATATGTGTGTATGTACACATATATATATATATATATATATATATATATATATATGTTGGATATAGAGGTCTACATACACATGCAACTTAACTTATGTCCGCTCGCATGCACCTTGGCCTCTGTTCATGTTCCTCGCCCATGTCCGCCTGTTTGCTTGTGCCAGTAAGTGCATGGCAGGCACGAGGCAGCTATAGCTGTACAACAACCGCGGCTGCCTTTTCCTATGTTGTCTTTATGAGTGTGAGGGGAATGTGCACGAATTATAGGAATATGGATGCGCAGCCGAAGATCATAAGGACAGCCAGAAATACAGACACACCGGCAGACAGACAGGCAGACCACGGACAGTTCTGCATGGACGACAGACAGAGTCCCACCTTCTCACAAAGTACAACTTTAACACTCGAGGATTCGACGCGCTGGCGACGCAGGTGACGATGTTGCAGCCATGGTTCGCGGCTCAGTCCCTAAACCCTAAACCCTACCTTAACCCCAAATAACCGAATAACCTACCTTTTTCAGGACCTATACAAGCAAATCATAGTAGGGAACCTTATAAAAGATCCAGGTTTCATAGGGTCCAGGTAAACTGTGACCAGGGCATGAGCTTTGTCGTGATCGCAGGGGGATCATGGGAGTTGATCCGAGAAATCCCCACCGTGAGGTTTACGAGCCTGCAGAATGGGCCTCCGATGGCATAAGTCGACGTCCGCGCAGTCTGATTTCTACGTTGGTCTAAGTATAATATCATATGCATGAATGTAGTACAATATGATGTGCTCTGAAACAGGAATCCACGTCGGGAATGCCTGTCGGTGTCGGACTGCCGACCGAAGTTGATCACGTAGACCCTCTACACCGCCCCTCCCACTCTCAACGACGCATAGCTGACTTGAAGTATAATCTCCGATGTTTCTGGCTTTCGGAACATTCATAGTCATACGGATCTATAAGAGGTTCCCTGCCCAACGGTTTTTACACCGGCATACGGCAAGCAATCCGTTCTGAGGAAAAGCACGAACATAAGCATGACCAGTTGAAAGCTACCACTTGAGAGGATTGTTGCCTGTTACCTCCCTTTGACTTAAGTTTGTATCCGAAGCTTTCAAAACCCCTTGGAATGGGACCGAGGTGTTGGTGCTGCCTCCCGGCCTTGCAGACGAGGACGGCTTTTGTTTCTAAGCGGGGTCCCTAATCTTACACTGTGAATCCCCATCTGGTATATGTTTATGAACCTTAAGCCTTGAGCACTTCATGCAGTCCGATATAGCTGAAATACTTGCGTGTTGAGCGTGAAAATGTGGCTTCAGTTGCAGTGGAGCACCCAGCTACATGCACGCCCCAAATCCGATCCATGGTTTGGGGCCCCTAGTGTAGGAGCCGGAAATTTGGAACATCTGTATCCTCATGCGCTTAAGGTAACATGCAGGAAATTCCAGCAGTACTGACTAATCATCCAAATTTCTGGGGTTCACCATGTATATGAGGTGTTGGAGGTCTTGCGACAGTGGGTGGGCGGTTGTGTGCCTAGGCGGTCGGGGAGATTGTAGAAATTCCGCAGTTTATCAACGGTTTGTATACAAGGTCACGCATGCAGAGAAGCTACATTCTGTAGAGGGCTGGGCGAGACAATCAGCTCGACAGCAAAACACAATTTTTGGTGACTCATTCCTCAATGTAGCACCTGCAACATGGTATCACGAGGGCGGCATGAACTCGCAAGACAAATGCAGCCTCTCGAGCTCTACACATGTGCTGAGTCCTAGTGAAAGAAGGACTTGGTTATACTTGGTTGCTAAACTGGTGGGAAGGAGTTGTGCAGGCGTGCCTCTTGGGGATTGCAGCAAGAGTCCGATTGGGTTAAAGTTGGAATGCATGAAGCTCAGTGCACGAAGGTGCACAGAACTGTGCCTTAGACGCCGAAGCCAATGGAGTGAGAGATAAACTGAGCGGCTAAACCCTACGTCCGACATGTAATGCCCTCTGAAGTTCGGCTTCTTGCGAGGACAGCCCATTGCCAAAGCACGCGGATGCTACGTGATGTCGGCTCTGCCAAAAAGAAGCTCTGCTCGCAGTTCTCCGTCTTTCATAGCCATCTTCTGCCTACTAGCGAACCTCTACGGTCTCGACGAGCGAATAGCACTCCATAAACCCCAAACAATGCACCCAGTGCCCATACTTCCTGTATCCAAAGCCTAAACCCCTATGTATCAACCCAAACACCATACCCTGTTTATCCAAAGCCTAAACCTCTATCCCAAAGCCAACACTGGCCTAGACCCTGCTTCAGACCCTTTCCTTCGGGCTCAAAAACAACCAATCAACCTTAGCATATGTTTCCTTGGAGACTTAGTCTTCCTGAGCCCGGGGTCCTTGCACGCCGACACCGCTCTTAGTAGTAGAGTAAATACATAATTTTTATGCAACCTGCTTCCAGTGCTACCATCCAATGCAAGGATTCTGGGACTAGTAAGGCTTACGATTTGGGGTGTAGGGATGTATTACAATTGCGGCATGTATTTAGGCGTCAGACTTGAGCCTAGGCCTTAGCACCTGAAGGCCGCAACGGCACTTCGCCTCGACGCTTAAATTCTGAGGCAGAAAGAAGGGCCCTGAACCACCCGTAGGCTCCATAGTAGTTCCTTTTTGGGGTTACCTTATAGGATTCTAAACATGAACCCCCAAAAGGAACCACTATGGAACCTCTGGGTAGGTTGTGCAGTTATATGAGTGGTTGTTTGATGTCCCTAAGTTGCTCTTGTGGTCAGAACTAGACCAAGAGCATACTAGCATATGTTTTCGTGAGCGATATAACCGACAGCATCAATAGCCTCTATGCTCTCATGGAACCCTAAACCCTGAACCCGAAACCCTGCAACCCTAAACCCTATAAACGTCTGAACCTCTAGGCTCCCTTGAAACCCTCAGTGGATGGCAGGTCATGGAGGAGTACAAGCACAAGCTCAGAGAGATCGACTCCGCTGTAGCTGAGGCAGGTTTAGGGTTGTAGGGTTCGGGGTGTAGGGTCTGGTGGTTTAGGAAAAACGGGATCATGATCTACGGTTTTAGGGAAGCATTGTTCGCTCATACGGGCTGCTGTTAAGTATTCCCAGATTCAATTCTACACCAAACTTCAGTAGCCGAAACACCATAACGCGCGACGCACCTTTCCATCCGCATGATTTCTTACGAGGAGTGTCATGATGAATGCATGCTTCACTTGCTGGTTCTAGCCCTACAGTCTTTCATAGTGTCTTAAGCTACTTAGTTTTGGTCGGCGATGCAGGTAATGTTTACCCGAAGGGTCCTGGGTATTGTTATGGGGGATAACTGCTTCCCCAAACCATGATAGTAATTCCTAACGTAGAATCCCTACATTCTACTATGTAGGTTCTTAGAAGCCCTTCAAAGGAACGCGAAACCCTTAAACGAACCCTTAAAGGAACATCGGACCCTTTGGGTTATGCTTTAGAAGCTGCCCCCACCCTGTAGTAGTGACTATAAGGATTATAGTAGGGCCCTGTTATATTCCTATTATACCACTATTACAGGGTGGGGGCAGCTTCTAATGCATAAAGAGTGACACTGAGCAGTGCCACCGCCTCCCCAGGCCGCCGCTCTTGAGGAAGCCCAGGAGAACCAGGCGGACAAACGATTTCAAAAGCATGCTCCGCCATAAGGGATCTATATAAGGCTTTACGGTTTACTATGAAGGACCAACAGGGGTTATAGCTCCCCCATGAGGGATCTATAAGGCTATAGGATCTATAAGGCTATAAGAGTTACGATAAATTTCAACAGCACCCTTTTAGGAATCTATACGGCTATAAGGGTTACTACACAGGACTAATAAGGGTTATATGGGTTGGGGGTTTGGTGGGGCTACAAAGCTTTGTAAAAGGGTTACCGTAACATATTGGAGCCGTTAGGGATTAGGGTTGGGGGTTGGCAGCTACAAAGCTTCGTAAAAGGGTTATTGTAACAGGTTGTTCAACCTGATCTTCGCGGTTGCTTCGTCATGTTGCTCTCTTGGCATGGTGGCAATCTCACCAGTGTTCAAGCCGTCACCATTGCTGTCAGCATCTTCGTCAACATGTCGTAATCGTCGTGCACATCTGCCGCTGCAGCTGCGAATTCGGTGGGCTGTGCGGGTCGTCGTCGCTGCCGCCGCTGCTGCCGCTGCTTCTGCTGCTGTTTTTGCCGGTGGTGGTGGTGGTGGTGGTGGTGGTGGTGGTGGTGGTGGTGGTGATGATGGCGGGCTCCTCCTGCTGTTGTTGTTGCTGCTGCTGATTCGATAGCTGCCGCAGGTGGTGGTGCCCTTGGCGTGGTTGTGCTGGCGCGGTGACTGGTAGTGGCGCTGTTCTGATGACGGTGGTGCTAAACTTAAAATCGCAACTTTTGGGGTTCTTATAGTTTAGTTTAGTAGGAATCGGAAAGTTTAACCTTTTATTTCTCTGGCTTGTTGGGGGAGTAAGTAAAATTTCATGGAACCCCAGGCCCATATCCCCAGCCCGTCGAACCTGGCCGATGCTGGGAGGCAGCCGCTGCAAGGAAAGAAGTACAGCAGGCGCGGACTTGGCTCAGCTTCGTCTGGGTAGTGAATTCTAATTCCGAAGCCCTGAAGTCAAAACAAGGTCACCTTGATGCATCTGCCACTCAAGAACCCAAGAAGAGCACGGTGAGAAAGAGGCACAGACCACACAGAGCAAGGGCTAATGACAAGGCTTGCATGCCTATACCTGTGTAGTATGTTGTATGCGTTGTGTTCAACCCGGTTCCTACATGGGTACTTGAGGGCCAATTTAGGATGAATGGGCTCTTAGGAATGAGCAAAATCTACAATCGGAGGCAGCGGACGACATCAAAGACCTCACCCAGCAGGCGGGGTACAATAGCTCCACCGTCCGACACTGCATAAGTCCTGGGAAGGGTTGAGGGTTACCTGGGCCCGAAACATGTGTAGAACAATAGCCCTCTATAGGTGCGGATTTGGCTCTCTACGGCTTCAGGGCGCAGGTTTCTTTTGTGTCTTGACTGATTTGAGCCGTGGGCGCCCTGGCCAAGTCGTGTACCTTCTGCCTCTGGGTCTGAATATGACCGGCGGAACTCTTCAAAGGTCAGGACAAGCTGGAACCCTACACCCTAAAGCGCTACTGCCTTGAACCATCTCACGACTGAGCCAGTGAAGCCTCCTGGAAGCTGCAGCCAGACTGGCAAAATGTAAGTTCAGAGGCAACCAACTAACTATTATATAAGCCTCCAGAGCCCCGTCCCCCATGTCTAACTTCCTGGCAAACAGACTTTGTCTGTTTCGGCAAATAACAGAGCCAGCCAAGCAACTAGCTCGGCAGGTAGGGCGAGCATAATATAGGGCCTTAATAAGTAGAGTAGGGTTTTTGAGTACATTCTACTATATGTATAAGAAGGACACCCAAAATGGTATTGGTAATTATTCAGGCCCTTGTGGTGGAGTGATGCATCGAATGTCCAACACTTTAAGAAAGGCGAGATGCACCAAACACGCGGTTGCATGCGTGTGCTACCAAGTACCAAGAATGTCTCGCAGGAAGAGGAGGCAGTACAGCAGCACGGCGCCAAGAAGGGCCTGTATTGTCTTCCGCCTCTTTTTCTATGAAAGTTCATGCTTATATGAACATAAACCCATCACCGCATTCCAATCACTACAGCCCCGACGTTTGCCTCGGGGTCTGGAACCTCAGGCTTGAGTTGTGCATGCCTTTGGAAAGGTTAGGCTTGGCTTGAGGATTATGTTTTGTAACATGTACTCAGAGCAGGCCAGTGAGGATAGCGGCTGCCTCAAACCAGCCCGGCCCACTGTCCGACAACTGCTGTCTCGATTCCTTCTCTTGGTTCTTGGGCTTGGTGCGTATGGTTGCTTGACTTACCTTTGGCTAGTAGGGAATGGAGGAATGGGGTACAATTGTAACTGCTATTACTACCATTCTTCCATTCTCTACTAACCAAAGGTAAGTTGAGACTTCCTTGACGGTTCCGCCCATCCACATCCGGGACTTGCTTTTCACGAAGCACATACAAGCTGTTACTATTGGCAACTGCAGCTGTGACAGTAGATCAGGAACGGGCCGGCGGAGTGTAATAACAGTGCAATAGCAATGGCCAGCGAAACTGGAGTGAGCCCTGAGTCATAACGGCAATTATACTACGCAGAAGGTTTGGGTGCAAAGTAGTCATGGTATGATTGGCAATAGTAAGCTCTGGATGGAGGTCGAAGGAATGCATCGCACGTCTTCACCTCCTCCACCGTTGAGCCAGAAAACATTCGTAAGAAGCTAAGTCCGCATCGCAAAAGCCAAAGTTCGAGCACGCGACGCACGCTATGCACGTGTTGCCCAAACACGGAAGCCAAATCCTCAACACGACTTCCTAAATCCTATACCCTAGGTCCTATATAAACTCTAACTCAGCCCCCGATACCCATATAGGATGTCAACTGACTCCACTCGAATGCGGTCTGGATTGAGTAGTATCACGACTTCTGTTTCGCAGAATCGGTGGTATGTTTGCTACGATGCCCTGAACCCTAAACCCCTCAACACTAAACCGCAAACCACAATATGCTATGGTTCCCGCTGCTGTCGGGGGTTTTTGGCCCTAAGCTCCCCTCAGCCTACACCCAAAAACCCCGTAAGGACCAAATGCCCCTTAAAAAGGTAGGAGCACTATACTCTTCTACTATATATGCTAGTACCATATAGGGGTGCATAGTATCTATTGAACTCCTATATGGTATTAGTATATATGTGAACCCTAAACCCTTTATGGGCTCATTTCGTCTCTACCGCCCTAACCCCAACAATCGTAGCTCAAGGCTTTCCAGTGTCCGTGCTGAGAAGCTGAAGGCCCTCCCATGTTGTTTGCTGTGCATCCTGCTCAGGGTTTAGGGTTTTAGATGCCTTACATGTGGATTCCTGGGGTGGGGGCTTAGGGTTTCGGGTGGAAGGATTTGGGGTTGTGGTTTATACGCTCAAGGTGTGGAGGTATGAATAATCGCGTTTCAGCATTGATCTCTGCTGGCAGGCGAGCGCTCTTATCGACGAGAAGCGTAGGCATCAGCAGGAGGCCAGCTTGCCACTTCTGGTTTAGGGGTTGTGTTCGGCGTGTATAGGGTTTAGGGCACAGAGAGAAGGAGAGACAATAAAAGGTATGGTATATCAGCGAAGCGACACATAAAGGACACATCGTAGACAGATGTTTGAAAGTGGTCTCATCAAGAACACCCCATTCCAACCCTTGCGCATCCCCCTGTTAAAGTCCTGGACCATTCCCGGTAACCTCTGCGCTGAAAGCATATAGGTTTGCTTGAGGTTTTCTAAAAGGTTTCTATACGGGTTCTATCGGGTTTAGGAATGTAGGGTTTAAGGGTCCATGTGCCCACACAAAGCAGGTCGAGAGCATGATCAAGATGGTGCAGGCTCTCTTCGTCGTTGTTTGGGGTTGACGGGTCTAGAGTTTAGGGTACTGATCTCAGGGTTCAGGGTTTTGGGATGTTTTAGGTTTGGGGTTTGGGTTTAGGGTTTAGAGTTTCACGAAGTTTTAGGGTTGGGGTTTATAGGGTGGGCTGGCAGTATTGTGAGTACTCATAAACCCTAAAGCCCCGGCGTCCCAACAGATTGAACCAGGTGTGGAAGGCCAATAGGAGCTTTCAGGCCCCGTAGTAGTAGTTCCTTTTTTTATGGTTCCTATCTAGAACCACTATCAGGTAATCCCAAAAGGAACTACTGGGGGGCATATGGGTAGGCATTGGGTGCTCAGCCCCTGCAGTTTGGGATTGTGTCTTTCCTCACTTATCACTGTTCACGCCACTCGACCGGATTCTCGCCTCGATGGCTACACCCCCATCCTGAAACCCTCAGCCTAAAGGTGAGTTTAGGGTTCGCTTTGCAGGTCATGCAGAAGACCACGTCGCGGGTCAAGGAAATTGAGAAAGAGCCCAGAGCTTGGAAGGGTCGCCTGAGACTTTCTGCGTTGACCTGAAACCTAGATGCCGCAAAACCTGCTTATAGCATCTTGCACAGTATCCCTTAAAGAGCCACTGATGATAACTCCTTTAGAACCCCTCGAAGTAATCCTCAAACTATCCCGTATGGAACCCTGAGAGGGGCCCCTTCACGGATCACAAGAGCCTATAAAATCCTATCAAACTCCAAAAGTTTGGAACATCCTCACAACACCACTCAATAGCTCGTATCAATCTCCTACCTACAACTTCAAGAAGCCCGGCACAGGCCTATCAAACAGACCAATACCTGGACCCTCAAAGTATGTAGAAAACTAGCCTTTTATATAGGTTTTGGTCCATGAGTTTACTTACTTTGGGGGGTCTAGGTAGTACCCTTTTGCCCTTTTTGTGTTCTTTATTTCAGGGTCCCTTAGTAGGAGAAAGGGTGCCCTTATTCTAAAGGGGCCCGCTTCAGCTTTGAACCCTAAACTCCTAAACCCCTAAACCTCCAAACCCTAAACTCCTTCCCTAAACCTTAAACTCCTGAACTCCTAAATGCCCTAGACCCTAAACTCCTAAACCCCTGAACCCCCAGACCCTAAACTCTAAACCCCCAAACCCCCGAACCCCAAACCCCTGATCCCCCATAAACCCATGAATCCCTAAACCCCAAACTCTGAAGCCCTAAACCCTTACCCGTAAACCCCCAAACCCTAAACTCCCAAACCCGCGAAACCCCTGAACTCCTAAACCCTATAAACCCCTGAACCCCTATAAACCCCATAAATCCCTGAACCCCCATAAACCCTATAAACCCCTATAAACCCTATAAACCCTATAAGCCCTAAACCCCTGAATCCCCTAAACCCTAAACTCTAAAACCCCAGACCCCTAAACCCTATAAACCCCTGAACCCCTAAACCCCTAAACCCCCAAACCCCCAAACCCTAAACCCCCAAACCCTAAACCCCTGAATCCCTAAACTCCAAACCCTAAACCCTAAACTCTAAACCCCTAGCCCCGTAAACCCTTATAAACCCTAAACCCAACCCCCGAAAGCTCCCCCAAAGCCCCGAGGAAGGAGAAGGCCTCGGCTCTTCTGAAGGCCTCGGAGCAGCAGAAGAAAGAGGCCATTCAGGCCCGGGGGCAGCTTCTTTTTTTTTTTATTTTTTTTAGGATTTAGGGGTTTAGGGGGGCACTATTTCTTTCCCTTAGGGTTTAGGGGTTCTAGGGGTTCTAGGGGTTTAGGAGTTTAGGGTTTAGGGTTGAGGATTTGGGGTTTAGGGTTCAGGGGTTTAGGGGGGCCCTTTATCTTCCCCTTAGGGTTTAGGGGTTTTAGGTTTTTTTTTTTTATTTAGGGGTTTAGGGGGGCCCCGTTTCTTTCCCTTAAGGTTTAGGGGTTGTAGGGGTTTAGGGTTAAGGGGTTTAGGGCATGGTATAACTTTCCCTTAGTGTTTAGGGGTTCTAGGGTTTTGGAGTTTAGGGGGCCCCGTTTCTTTTAGGGTTTAGGGTTAAGGATTTGGGGTTTAGGGTTCAGGGGTTTAGGGGGGCCCTTTATCTTTCCCTTAGGGTTTAGGGGTTTAGGAGTTTAGGGTTTAGGGTATTTAGGAGTTTAGGAGTTTAAGGTTACCTTAATCCCAAATAACCTACCTTTGTAAGGATATATAAGGAAATCACAATAGGGAGCCCTAAAAAAGGTAGGTTCTTTAGGGTCCAGGTAGGGGTTGTAGTGGTTGCGTGTTCAGGGTATGGTATAACTTTCCGATCTCAAATGACGGGTTTAGGGGTTTAGGGTTTAGGGCTCAGGGTATGCTATAATTTCCGGCCCCCGAAGGTGGGTTACTTTACGGGCTTGGGGTTGAGGTGCATGACCCTCGCTTCCAGACTTGGGATGTCTAGTTCAGGGGAAGGACTTCTTGCTTAAGCGGCTTACTATAGGGGCCTCAGTAGTTAGATATATATATATATATATACACATTTTGTGATTTTTTTTTTGGGGAGGGTCCTTATTGCAACTATAGTATAATGGCCCCCAAACCTATGTTTAATCATTTTGGCCCCTACATTCAGTGGCTCAAGTATATTCACTGGTTTCAGTAGTTTGCGTCTTCGGCTTCAGTCTGTCCCATGAGGCCACCAAAAAAGCCATTGCAGAAGTCAATGCTGCAAAAGGCTCGTTCTGGCACCACTTCGGTTTAGGGTTTAGGGTTTCTTGCAAGTTTTGACCATGTTGAATCGGAATATCCCATTTGTCACACTGCTGCAAACTTCATGAACTTCGGGTATTTAAATGCAGGGGAAGCTCCAGTTGACTTTGTGAATGCACTATTTCTGGCTTAGCAAGCCATGAAAATATATTCGAAAGCCGGAACTCCGCAACCCCGACACCCTTTCGGCTACACTCGTAAACACTAAACCCTTATGCGCTAAGCACCGACAACATCTATTGGTTGAAACGTGACGAGGAGGTTAGATCAAGGCTTGTCGTTTGGGTTCTTCTGGGCCGTACAGGCACTTTTCAAGGATGAAGGACGAGTCTGCCAAAGACCTTTGTGAACCTGTGAGGCTTTGGGGTACAGGTTTTTGTGCAGTTTCACGTTTAGTTTAGGAAAGACAGAGTGTACCCAAAGGCTCCATGTACCCATATAGTAGGTACTCAGGCTTTAAAGGGGTCAGTATATGGCTACTTTCAGGCCTAAGTACCTACTATATGGGTACATGGAGCCTTTGGCGTAGGAGTTCGTGTTTCGGCTTCTGGAGCGTCCTGAGCGTTTCAGAGCCCAAGCCTCAAACTCCACAAGCCCAAAATTTGGGGTTTAGGGTTTTGGGGTTTAGGGGTTTAGGGTTTAGGGGTTTGGGGTTTAGGGGTGTCGGGTTTAGGGGTTTAGGGTTTAGGGGCATCAGAATCAGGCCAAAAACCCAACCAGGCCATGAACAGCCCAGGGCTTCTCTGCTTTAACTTTCACGGAGTATCCGGCCCGGTCGCTCTGCAGGGAAGGGGAAAGGTGCCAAGAAGCGAACGGCCCTTGCCTTACATGCACCGACTTACGCTAACCGACAACTTGCTAAGTACTGGAAGCATGCAGCATGCATTATATTCAACTGCATGTTGTATTATGTGCAGATGCCGTTTGACTGTGTACATACATAGTTTGAGTATACCTACACACATGCATACACGTTCATGATGCAGTCATGCATTTGCTTACTGTGTCTGTTCATTTACATTGTATAGGTTTTGTTTGTTGTCACACAGCCGATGTGTTCACTTATCACAAAAGCCGATGTATGCACATTTATGTATACATACACACATATGTATAGACTGTCATTACATTGTACACATTCATAGTTGTGTATTTATGGGTTGCTTCTCTGCATTTAGTACATCTACAGGTTCCAAACGCCTTGAAACCTTCGCCGCGTCAAGCTAGCTACATTTGAATCCAGCGTGTAGTATCCGTGTCGTAGCTCTGGTTTTGATTTAAACAGTTCTGTATACAGGATGCTATAAGATAACCCCAAGAGGAACTACAGTTGATACTGTTGGTATAAGCCCATTTCGCATCTGAGTCCGGGGCCTCGACGAAATCGCCGCCGTCCACGGCGAAGCGATCGCCGGCCACCGCAAAGCGCATTCCTCCTGATGAGGCAGAGACAGCTCGGTGTCCCAGGAACTGCAAGGGCTCAGGGTTTAGGAGTCACCGGGGTTTACGCTGCAGGGCCTACATCAGCAGGCATCTACATGTCGAGAGGTACTTTAGCAATGGTCTTGAAGGTTGACCGGGGCTGAGCCCTGCAGCTTCCTGCCTCCAGGCGCCTGGAGCTCTAAATGGCATGAAGGATGCGCATGTTGCAAGGTCATGTCCGCTTACTGCAAACCAAGACCGGGGCTCATGCGATTGCTGACGAAGCCTCCATCGCAAACCCTCGCAGCCTGAACCCTTCAACCCACAACCGCCTCAACCGGAAACCCAGAACCCTGTCGGCCCTATAAACTTGTACTATAAGCCATCGAACCCCGTGGAATCCCTTAGCTGCATATGTCCGTTGCTTGGATCAAGGACGGTGCTTGGATTCGGCAAGGTGTCCTTGGAGCTTTGGGGTTGGGCAAAAATCAGGCTTTAGAGTTTCTTCAGGTTTTGGGTCTTGGGCTTTGTGTCTGAGAGCTTTGGGGGTGAGGGTTTGCTGGCTTGGGGGTTTGTGCATGACAAGCCACATGCGGGACTTCAATAAGTGTTCTTGAGGTGCCTGTCAACATGCAGGATGAGGGCGAGGACGTCGACTAGGCGCACGGCTGGATTTGTCGCCGCAGTACCCCTCAACTCGAAACCCAAACCCTGCAAGCCTGAAACATCAGATCAAGAACTCAAGATAGCATAGGTCCAGCCCTATCAACAGTCCTTTACGTGACGATAGAAAAATATGCCAACATAACCTACTTTAATTAGTAAGATTCCCACATTGCAAACCTTTCAATCTTCACCCAACTTCACCCCAACCCTGAGACCTTGGCAATCCTAAGCGTCGGCTAGTAAATTGGCGGCATGCCTCGGCCCACCCAGCTGCACGTGGGCAGGTAGCCTTCAACCTTTAGAGGCAGAGGACGCAGTCCTAACACATTAGTTGTTGGTAGATCATGCAATTCCTAAGGTGCTCAGCCGTCATGCTCAAAAAGCTGATAGTGCTCAGCACTAAGATGGAGTGAGTAACTGGCAGCACACCTGAATGGGGAGGGGGTTCCTTGCAAGGGCCCTATCACGGCAGGGTTGACGTACTTTCTTAAATCCCCATAAAATTACAAGCAAAGAGTTGTGCAAATGGTACTGGAGAACTGGCGGGTTTCACGATGTGTTTTATGTTCTTGCAGATGGCCCTGGCGAGGGCTTCGGGCTGTTCACGGTATATGGGGTTTAGGGTTTGGGGTTCAGGGTTTAGGGTTTGAGGTGGCATAGCCTACAGCGAACATCCTACAGAATTGAATTCCTGGCCAGGGCAGATGCGGCGAACGCGTCTGACGGGTTGAACATCAAAGCAGGACGTTGACGAAGACCTCCACCGCTGTAGACCCGATACCTAAGGGTCCATGTACCCAAATAGCACATACTTCGGGCCCAATGTACCTATATACGGACTACTTTAAGGCTGATGTATATACTATTTGGGTACATGGACACTTAGGGGAATCCGGTCTGCGATCTTCGAAGTCTCTTTGATGTCCCAAGCAAAGGGGTTAGGGTTACTCGACCGCTTGCCACAGAAGGCTGCAGAATTAAAAAACCGCCTATAGCCCAAAGGGTCCAAGGATTATTACGGTATATGGGCCATATGGGTGGTTGTCAAAATTATGGTTCCTTTTGGGGTCCCATAAACATGAGGTGCCGTACTATATTAGGGACCCCAAAAAGAACTAGAATTTTGACAACCACTCATATACTTATAGGGTTTTTTGGGGGGTCTAAGTATATACCTTAGGGTAGGTAGAAGGAGAGCTTGATAGTAGGTATGCGTTTCAACATTGTGGAACTTATCACGAGGAGGCAGTTGGAAATGATGACAGCATGTAGGCAGGGGCGTGTCCGGGGGACCGGCACTTAGCTGACGCTTTGAGAACCTCATTTACGGGCCTTAGGAATTAGAATAGGGTTTTGGGGCATGTACTGTAGATATAACATGGAGCCCCCAACATAGTACAGGTAGTTATAAACGCCTCCGTTTTTGGCCAAGAACTGTTGAGGCCTCGGGTATTACACCTTGGGCCCCACGCAAGCATCCACTGCATGCTTCTTCGGATTAGTACAGCGTAGAGTGAGCCCCAAAAAGTTGGAAACCGGATTAAGAAAAAAAAGTGCTCGGATTCCCTATACATCACGCTTAATTACGGATTGATGCCATTGGGTGTCCACTTCAACTGTATCTTGTTCACACGGTGTGGTCGATTTAGTCATAACAAGACCAGACATCCAATGCCATGGCAATAACGGTCAATAACTAAAATAGCGGGACCGCACCGATTTCAAGCATATCGACACGAAGCATAAACCGTCGAATGCTACTTTGAGTCGCATAGACTCACAGCGCCACCCACACACATACACAAAGACGCAACAAGAGACACAGTCCTCCTCGGTATGTTGTCTCAGTGTGGTTTCTGTAGGGTTTGTCTCTTAGTGCTTCGCTAGCTCCCTTCCGACGCCTCGGGCAAACGGTCGAAGTAGAAGAAGTCGCCCTCCGCAGCGCACATGAAGCTTGCGTGAGGAAACAACCCTTGTTTTCTGCATGGTTCGGGACCCTTAACCTTAAAAATAGAAAGCCTAAATCCTAACCGCTTTATCCCCGAGATCAGCTGCCCCCTCTTCGTGAAACCAAACAAGAACATGTGCATGCGCAGATTTACACACACACACACATGTGAGTCTATACGGACCATACTGTGACCTAGGTACCATCCAACGGGGAACGAATACACGCATGACGTGCAGTTTGCAAATATGGTGCGTGTATAGATCATACTGGGTAACACGTGTATACATATATATATATATATATGTGTGTGTTGATGCATGTGATATGCATCATGTTACGTAACCACACATATTTGCCGCGTTCGCCGCCGCACTTGTGCATGTACATACTTGGAATCAGAGGTTTTGAAGCAGTGTCGTAGGTGCTAGAATGCTTTTCTTCCGATATTCGGGCTCAAGGTCTGGAGACTTACTTCGGGCGTGGAGAGGAGTGTAGGAAACCCTGAACCCCAATCCCCGAAGTCTTATCCCTACAATATGTTAAATTTTGGGGGGAGGGAGTTCGGGTTTAGTTTAGGGTTAAGGGTTTAGGCGGGTTGGGGGAAGCCGTGGCCCAGAAGTCTTGTGGGATTCCTAAGGGTGGCATAGAGGTTTAGGCTGCAGGGGTCTGAAAGGCACAGGATCCGTACGGCTGATGATAAAAATCCTGCATTACCTTATTAACTTAAGGACCCTAAACTACGAGGTTCATGGTATATCCCTTACTATGGGTAATGCAGAGTTTATATCATCAACCGTATCATGGAAGTACACTGCTGAGACTACTGCAGGGTTTAGCTGCGAAGACTGAAGACCCATCCGTAGAAGCAAAAATCTCCATGAGCTCCAAGATTTCTGAACTCTGATGGTTGTCACCCGATAGTCAAGATCGAAGCCTGCACAATCGCAGCATCATTAATCAGTGCTCCCTTTTACGATGCTACCAGAACACTCCCCCCAACCCTATTGTTGTTATCATGTTTCTTCTTCTTATCATGACGCAGGCCACCTGTTTTAAACTCAGAGCCTCGGAGCAGTCGGATGTTTTGTCGATCAGGCTGGCGCCGATATCTGTTCTTTGTTCAGAGGGCCGACAACCCTGAACCCTAAAACTTAAACTCTAAGCCTCTCGCAGACTTGTGCTGTGCAGAAAAGGAGCTCAAAAAAAAAAAAACTCTAAGACCTGAGCCCCGACACTGTAAGCCCCCACAGCTTGGAAGGATCTCGACTTATTTATTGAGCTAAGGATAGGAAGCTGGATAAACGCATCAAGACTGAACAGTTTAGGTGGTTAAAGTCATCATGTTCTTACTTTCCCATACGACACTATACGATACTGTACGATACTATAATAAACTGAAGTAACCCTATTGGTCCACGTATCCTAATAGTATATACATCAGCCTTAACGTAGTCCGTATATAGGTACATTGGGCCTGAAGTATATACTATTTGGGTACATGGACCCTTAGGGTAGCGTTACCAACATTGTATTGTTGATGATAGTTATCCTGCATGACCCGTAATAAGGAGTATACCATAATTCCCATAGTTTAGGGTCCCTAAGGTAATGCAGGATTTATATCCCCAAACCCTAAAACCATAATAGATCCCTTAAAGGAAGAAGCCCTTAAAGGTACCCTTATAGCTCCCTTTAAAGGAACCCCCCAGGATTTAGATCATCAGCCCTATGTTAAGATGTCAGGGCCAGAGCCGAGGCGCCTTTGCTGTGGACCGCCGCCGTGGCAGAGCAGCAGCGAACAGCTCCCAAGCCATGACCCTAAGCTCAAACCCTAAACCCTAAACCCAAAAAGGAGCTAAACAAGAAAAAGCTAAACCCTAACCTAATCCCCAGCCTTCGACGCAGACCTTAGATGCATCAGAAACCCTATATGCCCTGAAACTCGGACTTCCCCAAGCCGCAGTTTAGGTCCAAATATATTCCAACCCCTAATGAAACCCTATAAAGGGTTCCCCCCTTCCCAACCCTAAACCCTAAAACTTGAAAAGACCCTTACCGCGGCGGTAGCTTGAGAAACTCTCGATGTCGGGCCGGAGCGGATGGAGGTGAAGGTGGACCCCCCGGGATAGATCACGATGATTGTATTGCATGTTCTTTGTAGTTTTTGTTACTCTCATTCTTGTTGTTGCGACTAGTGTTGCTGCTGTTGCAATAGCCGGTATTATTTGGGTTGGGCGTCTGGGGCTTGGTTGAGGTGCAGGGTTCAGAGTTTGGGCTCCGTTACGAATTTCAAGTATGATTATGCTGGTTTTGCTCGACTCTTCCTGTTATCCTGTCGAACCCTATCGTCAGCAATATGGGTGTAGTTTCAGTATGAGCTACCATTGTATGTACCGGTTCCGAAAGTGCCTTTCAATAAACACGACCGAGCAATACGACAAACGATTATTGATCATGCCAGAAGATGCCAACCACCTTTCCATTGATCATGCATCTATTGAACGTCGCAAGTGTGTTGGTTGGTTTGAGCTATTATAAACAAATCGTTGTGAAGCAGCTCGATGTGAAGTCTCTATGTGAAGAAGCTCAGTGTGAAGTTCTCTCTGTGTGAAGTAACTCAGTGTGAAGTAACTCAGTGTGAAAGCCTTCTATAGGAATCAAAGAAGTGTAAAACCAATGTTTATGAACATTCATTGCAACAGTGACGCCGGGACCGTAGTAATCTAGCAGGAAGTAGGTCAGCGCCGACGGCTTTTGCTGCAAGCTAAGGTAGTAAACAAAATGTATTTACCATTGTTCATAATGCGTGGTGTGAATTTTCTTATTCGGACCATTGTCATTCCGATTCCAGGCATTGTCCTTATGACGTTCTGAACATGTTTGATCTTTTTTGTGTTTGTTTCAGAAGCAGGGAGATGGCTGAAGCTTCAAACGAAATGGTAACCCCATAAGCCCCTAAACCCTAAACTTGGACTCGAATTCGCAATCCTTTCAGGTGGACGCGGCGCTTCTGAGCCGCTTGCACAGGCGAGCCAAAGCTGCTTGCGACAGGCGCAGTTTTCGGGCGTAGGTTTTGGGGTTCACGCAAAGGGTTCCTTAAAGGGCTAATTGGCTGTAAACTCAACTTTTCAACTTTTGGGGTTCTTATAAGGTAGTCGATTCTGAAAGTTTCAACTTTTATTTCCTTGGGTTTTGGGCCAGTGAGAGGGTTCCTTAAAGGTTTGTATAAGGTATCTATATAGGAGTTTGGGGTTTAGGGTATCGGGTTCGAGGTTCGTGGCTAAGGTTTTCGGGTTCGGGGCTTTTGGTCAGTTCAGGGTGTCAGGCCTCCACAACCCTACGGCTCCAAGGGCTCGCATGTCGTGGCGTTTTGGCCCAAAGATATATGGCATCTTCGCGATTCAGCTATTCACGCTCGCACCTGACGCCCGACATCTCAACACCAGTCCCTAAAACCCCAAGCAATACTACAATCACAAAACCTACACTACCCCAAAGGGTCCGAGGTACTCTTATGGGGGATTCTTCCCCAGATCATTCTAGTACTTCCTAAGATGGAAACCGTACATTCGATCGCTTGAGGGACCCTTACCCTAAATCTAAAGATCCCTTGAAGGGGAACTTACCCTAAATCTGTAGATCCCTGAAAGGCCCGGCCCATACCCTAAATCTATAGATCCCTTAAAGGCCCGGCCCTTACCCCAAATTTATAGATCCCTCATAGAACCCTTTAAGGGGACCCCTAAGCCCAAGCCGAAACGGAGCCCGTAAGGCGCCAAGAATCCGCGGACCTTCGCGTTACAGCCGACTGGCTCCGATGCGCCGCGAAGCGAAGAGGCCGAGCTTCGCGGAAAAGGGGACTCTAGGGGTTTCTGTAGAAGTTCGTATACACTTATATATACGGGTTTATATACACGTCGAAGACGCCGGCGGCAGTTCAAGGTGAAGTGTTTCTTCGAGGTTCTAGTTTCGTTTTTGGGGTTGACAGTAGGGCTCGGAGTGTGTCGGCTTTAGCTTTGCGAAAGCGCCTAAAGTCGAAGCCCTATCCGAAATTGAAGTCTGAAGCCTGCAAGAGCTCACACCTGGCAGACGCGATGCCGGCGATGTCCAGCAAGAGCCAAGCTGAAGGATTGACGAGGCCTTTGTGAGTGTATGGGGTTGAGGGCAAGAACAGGGTCTTGGGCTCGGGTTCCGGGCTCCGGAATCGTTTGCATTGCTATCTTTTCAGATCGTGTTTGCACGGCATTGAGGGCGCAGCATGTGGACTTCGTCGTCATGTGGTCAAAGCCGGTATCCGGAGCGTGGTCTGGGCTGTCCGATGTCCCCGGACCCCAAACTCGTTCGCGGTCTTGTTCGGGATGTTGGCAAGCCCTTGTCCTTGCATCCACGATGCTGAGTTGCCCTGAATCCTAAACCCTTGAGTGCGATCTTTTCAAGAATTGCTTTCGCATGGCAGTCTAGCAGCCGCCAGCGAGCCCAGCGCCCCTGAGGCTCTTCCGCAGAATCGTGTTGAAAGTGTCTCTGCAGTAATGGATACATGTTTGGTATTGGTGTTCTTGCAACCCACAATGGCTGCAAAGACTGTTGCCATTACCTGTTATGATTGAACAGAGTATATGTAGACCCAATGCACTCTTGTTAGCAGAGGCTAGAATATAATGAAATACATAGTATAACGATCGGTTTTGCCATGCAATGTATCAAGTGCTATTGGGGGAAATGCTGAATGGTACGCTTCTCCTCTGATTGGCTGAAGGCTTGTAGCAGCACAGTGATAACATGTGCATGTAGCAGATCAAAACGTCCTCTACACTTGCCACAAGTCCAGCGTTGCTGGTATGTCGCATGCAAAAGTCCGTCGGAACTCCTATGTAGTCCCACAGTTCAGCAGAATGAAGACTTGGACTGCCTGCCTATAGAACGGTTCACGGGTTCAAGTTCAGGGATGCACTTCCAGGGTTTGCCACAGTCTGTGGGGTTCATGGTAGTATCACCAAGCTCGAAGCGCATGCAACTGTAACACAAAAGAAAGACATGCTATGTCAAAACAAACCCTTAACTTCCTGAGCCTAATAGAGCTTGACCGCGCGACAGACAAAAAAACAGTTCCTGTGAGAATCAACCTCCGGCCTATGCAACGACCCTACACCATCCAATCCAAGTCCCTATACATGGAGCCCTACTTGTGGGATCCAGGTGTCCGTTGATTGGGTGCTGAAGTTACAGCCCTCCAAGGCACAATGAAGGCTTTTCAGTATAAGTGCATGTTTTTGGTGCTCAGGCTGCAGTGGGCTTTGGTTCAGGGTTTGGAATGTAAAAGGGTCCAGAGTAACACTCCTCTGGCAATTTCGTTTCTAGTCTTGGTTCGTAATGTTTCCTCGATTGCTCGTTCGACTAATCCGGAGCTTATCCTGGAAGAGGTTGGTCGGGATTTCAAGTGCAATCCATTTGTTCATGCTTACTTGCATGCTTGACTACAAGACCACATAATTTGCGTTGCTGCGTTCCACCAAGCTGCGGCTGCGGGATGTTTGTTTTGAAGCAGACGTCCGTTGCTGCATTCCACCAAGCTGCGGCTGTGGGATGTTTGTTTTCAAGCAGACGTCGAGCCCTTCCGCAGCTTTCATTTCGCAAAATGCGCGGAGAAATGCAAGGCCAGGCCCGTACACGCAGTGCTTCGGGCAAACAAACACTCCAGCGTCCCCAGGACACGAAGGCCTGACCCGAATTCACCGACCTTCGCATCTAGCTACTGGGGTTTCGAGGAGGTTTGGCGTGGTGTTCACTTAAACTGTTAAACTCTACGCCTCTAAGCTTCAAACCCTATATGAACCTTTCTTTGAGCTGCACTCTTCTGGAGATGAGCTCAAACAACGCTAAACCCTCAACCCCTAAACCGTAAGCCCACAAAAGCCCTAAGCCTGACCTAAGTTGTTTTTAAGCCTGAAACCCATTCATCATGTAACTCCCCCACTCCTCCCCGTAGCTAGAAGGATTGTTCAAGTTTCAGGATTCACCTGTAAAGCTTGGCAGCATGCCTTCTGCAAGCCATGGCCGATTCTGGACCGTGGCTGCCGGCACTTTGGCCCGCAAAATCTCTCAATGAATCGGATCACCAGGGTTTGAACCGTGTGGTCGTGAAAGGGTTTAACGATGAAGGTGTTTCAGGGGGCGTTCTAGCGGACCATACGAATTATGAAGCATGATGAAGCTTTCGAGCGGCATGGAAATTATGCCAGCGGCTAGGTTTTTTTTGATGAAGGGGAGGGGGTAGGTTTTCGGCTTTTCGTAGTATACTTATGCAGGGGAGGATACAGGTCAGGTCTTACTAACTGTTCCAGACGTCGGTACTAAAGCGCAAGTTCCAGGGTTGAGGGTAAAAAGTTGTATAAAGTTTGGGCTTCGCGGTCATGCTTCTCGGGTGCAATCAAGGCTGTTGGATTGAGGTTTGAAGCCGTGAGTATGTTTTGGCCATAAGTAGCACAAGCTTCTTAAACTTTGGTTTCTCTGTGACATTCCGATATTATTGGATCTGTGTGCCTCCTGGCTACCACACCTAGGAGCCTCGATATTTCATGAGCCAGTGTTAACCGTCGCTTAAGTCATTCTGCGTGCACATCCGTAAAGCCATGAGGTACTTCTGCGATTGTTTGTGCGGCCGTTGTTTTGTTCTTTGGCGAAAGCCCGGATTCAACTCGCGAGCACAAGGCCTCAGCCACTTTGCCTCCGCAAGCGACGGAGCACCTGGGCCTCAAGGGTGCTTGCACATTTCGTTGAAGGGCCAAACGACTTGCATCTGGTATCGTTCACTTAAACTGTTAGGGTCAGAGCCATTCACCTTAGTCTGCTGCAAGACAGCTACAGGTTTAAGCTTGCACCAATTAGTTAGTGTTACGTTGATGATGATGATGATGATGATGATATCGACCATGATGATGATGATGATGACGGTGATGGTGATGGTGATGATGATGATGATGATGTGATGATGATGATGATGATGGTGATCATGGTGATGATGATGATGTCGACCATGGTGATGATGATGATGTCGTGGATGATGATGGTGATGATGACCATGATGATGATGATGATGATGATGATGATGATGATGATGATGATGACCATGATGGCTTGAGCGGGGTGGATGGCGAATTGCCGTCTTGAAGGCGCTCTCGAGCCGGATGCGTTGGAGGAAGAAGAAGAAGCTGACGAGGATGATGATGGTGATGATAAATCGGGTAAATGGGTGTATTCGGACGGTGCTGATGGTGGTGAAGACGATGGCTGTGGTGGCGAGGATGACGATGATTGATGATTGCCATCATCACGTTGCAGATGAGTACGAGCTCAGTATTTACATGCAACGAGCACAGCTGAAGTGTGATGAGGTGGATGAAGACCAGATGCCCCCAGTCCGGAAGCACGCTAACCCAAGTCCCGATACTGCCACAAAGCCTTCAGTCGCCCCGGCAACGCTGCCCTTCGCCAAGCCCACAGAACTCGGGAAAAAAAAAAACTAAAAACTCCCCACTATAAGCCAACTCGCCGACATGGGAGGTCTCAATTAGAGGGTACCTTCTTTTGGGGTCCTTATAATAAGGATCCTACTATGTAGGGTACTATATTAGGGTCCCCGCCCCATTTTCCGAAACCCCCATATACCCGAAGCGATGCCCAAGGAAGAGGGGCTCGTCACTCTGGCTTTGCATAACCGGAGCAGCTTCGCAGCCGACCTCTCCGCCCCTAACAGCCCGAGGGCTGCAAGCAGTTCCGGGAGTTTCAGGGTGACGGGCCCGGCGGTTTAGGGATTAGGGTTATGGGGTTTATAGGTTTAGGGATCAGGGTTTAGGGTTCTAGGGTTTAGGGATTGGGGTTATAGGGTTTATAGGGTTTAGGGTTCTAGAGTTTAGGGGTTAGTGTTATAGGGCTTACAGGGATGAGGGTTTAGGGTTCTAGGGTTTAGGGATTAGGATAATGGGGTTTAGGGTTATCGGGTTTAGGGTTTATGGATTAGATTTCGGGATTAGGGTTATAGGGTTCTAGGGTTTAGGTTTTAGGGGTATTGTGGGTTCCGTTCCGCAATCTGCGAGCTTCTTGCGAATGAGCACTCGTTCGTTGCAGGTTGGTGTCAGGTCCTGACGCACGGGGCCTAGATATGGCACTGCTAGTCGTCGTGTCGTTGAGACTAACTGGTATGTGTGATTCTTCCGCCTTGCCTTCAACCCCTGCGCGCAAAGCTGCAATTCCTGTGAAATCCGGGTACCCTGCGAACACATGTATCCCACACAATTATACCGATTATAGGCTTTTCGTTGTCGGAGCACCACATGGGCCGCCATGCTCCGGTTCGGGCTCCCGCTGTGAACCCTGAACCCGAATGCCTCCTAGACTATCGGCTCCTGGCAAACCCACGGCCCCCTACATCTCCACTACCCTTGACCCCTAGCCCAACCCTAGGCTGAACAAGTCTTGAGCTGGGTGGTAGGCATCGTCTGGGAGGATCCTTCCTGCACGTGCCCTTGCAATCTGACTAAAATTACACGAGTTCATTGTGGGGGGACCCTCTGGCCAGAAAACTTCAACCAACTCGAAACGGCAATCCCCCTGAAGCCTAAACGCCATGCACTCAACGCCCTATGAGCCCTGTAAACCCTAAGCAATAAACCTAAGCCCTGTAAAGCTTGAGCGCCACACACTGAAGAGGTGGAGATCCCTTTAGAGGATCTCCGATCTGGACGCCGGGCTCCGAAATCGATTGTTCGCAAACCTGCATCTCGACTTCGAAGAGTGCTTGTAAGGGTTCCTTGAAGGTCCCGGGGTTCCCTTAAGGGGGTCGTGTTGTGTGTAGGGTTTTTGGGCTTGG